AATTGAAAGTAGGCAGTTTAGTCCCTGTCTTTCCTACTTGATGCTAGCATATATTTATTGACATCACACATTATCTTTTGGTTCAGTTTAGACCTATGAATGGTCCTAACACGCAAGCGATCACTCAATCTAGCATGCAACCTACACTACCATCCAGCTTGCACCAGTCAATGTGCCAACAGAGTTAGGTATTTCTATGATTACGAGTTAGTTCTTATTTCTGTTTTGTTATTAACATCATATTGTTGTAACATTATTGAAGGAAGAAAAAAATGTTTGAAGTATGTCAGTGCTAAAGATTAAAATATAACGATCATTAATAGGTTATGTTCTTTCTCTATATGTTAGGAATGAAGAAATTTTGCAAGTGATAGAGTAAACTTGTAAGTGCTAAACATTATTAAGGTATCAGGCAATTACTTTCCTGATTTGTTGAAGTATATGAAAATTTTTAATAAGAAGAATCTCTAAAGTGCTCTAAGCATATTTTCCAATTTCTTCACAATGTCATAATATTGCCTAGCAGTGTTGTCAAAGTTAGGATCAACCCCTTGATACTCACGAAGCCGTGTAACCGCTTTATTGTATACAAGTGAAACTTCCTCTGTANAGCCAAGTCTTTTGCAGTTCATCATATTTATGTTAGTGTTGCAGTTTTACATCCTTGACAAGTTTGATAAGCACCCCAAGAATCTGCTCTAGAACATTATAATACTCTGCAAATTTTATCAGAAGAATATAGATCCTCCCTCCATTCTGTTTCTTTCTCAATTTCCTCAATAATCAATTTTACCCTTTCTGGAAGTCTAAAAGCCAAACTCTGATGACCAGTTGATGAATCAGTGTCATCTATAACAGCATCTGCTAACTTATCACATTTAGCATCTAACCGACTGGCAACTTCACGGTCACGGGCAAGCAACACCTGGTATCAAAAAAGGAAGGCACTCTAAATGATTAGAAGTTAGTATTTTAATATAAAATATTGAATTAAACATATTGCTTTAGCCATGATCTTGAACTTCCAAGACCAGAGGGAATGGTATTAAGTACAGGAATACAAGAGGCCTCCTGAGTTTGTTTGGAACTTCCTTATCTGCCTTCCACTTCTTGGCCTGCCTTTTATCTACCTTAGTGAATGTCTTTCTCTTCCCAACTTCCATGAAAATGAAAAGATATTCACAATACATTGCTGTAACATCTCAAAGGAAGTGAAGCAATTGGTGAGAAAGTTAAGTTTGTACAACTGTTTTTTCTTCTTAGTTATTAGAAAGAACAATATAGATGTTGCCAATGTTCATTTGATGTCATCCAACTGCAAATTTCTCAGTGTATAATTTCTAATATGACTACATTACATGGTTTATGATTTATCAAAATTAATTGTCACTCGCTTCATTTTCTATCGACAACAGAATAGAAAGTCACTCTTTCATATATTGAATGTGTGTGAATGTTTCATTGACATGTACGCAAATCCTTAGTGATCTAAATTGCTAGCATTCTGATTTTGGTTGTTTGCAACAGGAACTTCATATTCCTATACATTTTAGCGGATTCAGCTTTGCAAGAACATACGTTACTGGGGTACAAAAGTCTGGATCCATCCTGTGACTAAGGAGAAATATGTAATGAAATTAGTCTTATCAAATTTTTGGAACTTGACTAGACTTTCTATTTTGAATTCTATTATAGTTGACTATATGTGTTTTCATAGTTGGCATTGGAATTGACTTGTAAAGATGTGATATATTATTTTGCCCTGTAAATATTTTGCTGGAGGCTTTTGGTTGTGACTATTGCCTTTTGGTTTCGGATAATTTTTTGATTTTGAAATTTTTGTTAGTACATTGTGTTCGAGGTTGGCCTTTTGATTGTGATTATTGATATTTTTTGAATTCGAACTTTTATTGGTACATTGTGTTCAAGTCGGCATTTCAACCTTTTTTTATAACTTTGATTGTTTGATGTAAAAAAAATCACAATTATTCAGCAAATTAATTTTTTTCCCGACCAATTTCACTTGATTTTTTGGTCGGCAAATGTATTCCCGACCAGTGATATGGTCGGTCTAGATTTACTACCATTACTTATGATTTGTTTATTACCGACTACTTTAGACATTTACCGACCAAAATCGTGGTCAAGAAAAAGGTTTATAATTACCGACCAACATTTTCGGTAAAAATCACTTTCTTTCCCGACCAAATTATATTTTGGTCGGTAAAACCTCTCGCTGGCTGCCCTTTGGCGACCAGCTGCCGACCAAAACTTTTTGGTCAGTATTTGCATTTACCGACCAAAATTTTTACCGACCAAAAATTTTTGGTTAGTAATTTTATTTACCGACCAACATTTTCCCGACTAACTTATATTTTGGTCGGTAAAAACATTCGCTGGTGGCCTTTGGCGACCAGCTGCCGACCAAAACTTTTTGGTCGGTAATTGTATTTAGCGACCAATCTCTTGGTCGGGAAAACCCATTTTTCTTGTAGTAAAGTGAATATTGGTGTACAAAAAGTAGGCCGTTCCATAAAAGATTAAAAAAAAATGTCTCTTAAGTAATCTCTAGTATCTTTCAAATAATAGTGTGTGAATTCATATATATCTTAATCAAGTCAACACTTATTATTTATTTGATTTATAGGAAACAAAACAAAATTAAAACTTCCATTCTAAAAAGTAAATAAAAAACTATTTTCTAGCAATATAATTTTTCTTAATTAAAAAAGTACCTATAAAAATTATATATTTAACTAAACAGATTAAAATAAATTTACAAAATATAATTCAACAAATTCTAAATGAAATTTTCCACACCATGAATGTATAAATCCAACAGTACAAATACAACTACATATTTTGAACTACCAAATATATGATTTTTGTTTTTGAAATATCTTGAATACTGATCACCGTTTGGTTAGTCAGGGGTCAAAGATGAGCAGACTGGAGTGAATGGCCCAGGATGTCTCTCTTACCTTAATTAGTTAACAAATAACACTACTTGTACCTGATGAATTACATAATGATTTATATACAGATAAAGTATTAAAAAAAGAATGTAGAAATGTTTTATTGTTATTATTATTAATTTGATTGAAGAAATTTTAATCCAATCATATGTCACTACATCGTGTGTATATAAACCGTCATATAATTAATTCATTATGTACATATGTCACAATCGATATTTAACATTCATGCCCAAAAAAAAAAAATGAAAGTATTAGGTGGACCCACCCAATGTTGATCAAGTAGGTCCCACAAATTATGTGATACAATTGGTGCACAAGGAATCAATTGTATCCATCACACGTGATGTAAAATGATGTTGGGAAAATCAAAGGAGAGAATTGTGTCATGTGGAAGGAGTGTCAATCATAATGTTATTGTTAAGTAGAATGTACACGTAGCATGATTGTATCATTAATCTTTATCTCTTCTTTCGCCGATCAGTAAGTGAGTTAGGAGAACTACCCGACAACTACTACTACTTATTTGTCTTGTCTACTTTCTTTCTTCTTACAGGTGATAGGGTTTGGTGGCTAAAATTATAAGGGGGCCTGTGGGTCGGCGGAACTGATAGTCTGACTACTGCTACAAAGTCGCATAGTGGTTGGAGGCACGCTATGATGTACATATTTGTATGTTGCAGAGTGCAGATAGTGGCGTACACCAAAATCAAATCATGATGCCATCTCCAACTATGTATCAAAACGTGAGATAAGTTCTACATCATTTTATACCAAATTTTGCACCAAACTAAAAATAACCATTAGACCAAAACTTTTACCAAATGAACGTTGTTTAATCATTTTCTTCATTTTTTTATTTTAACAATTTATTTATTTGGAAAATTATTTATTTATTTATTTTACAACTACATAAACTACTAAATAAATATTACGTTAATTTAACAAAAATATTAAATTCATTAGCCATTATTTTTTACAGTATTAAAATTTATTATAAATGCACAAATAATAATAATAATAATAATAATAATAATAATAATAATAATAATAATAATTTATTGTATTAAAAAATATATAACACAGTTGACACAAATACTATTAATCAATTTGTTTAAAATAAAAATAAAGGATAAAATTGACATTTTGCACCATTTTTTGGTGCATTTCGGTGTTTTGGTTTCTCCCTTGGAGATGCTTGAATAATGCTATATGTACATTTTAATCGACAACTTCTTTAACATCCCTTTATGTGAAAGAAATTTGGGCATTGATGTAATG